GTAGACATGGTGTAACATTGGTTTTGCTTTGTTTCACAGAACTAATCGTTGCCTGGGTTGCGTACGTATATGTGGGGCGGAGCTATCAAAATAGGGGCAAGACCCTTTGGGGTAGGGGCGTGTTTGTTTTGGTGATTTCAAATATCAACATTGGCTACCAGAAATCACTTACTCTGCCTTTAAATGCTAACATCAAAATTAACATTTTAGGAACATTTTAAAAACATATACACAACATTTATACAACATTAACCCAAAGTTTTCTTAATTTTAACATTAGCATAACATTTATCAGTATTTAACTAAAAACTGATGAATTTAGGGATTAATCATTTTTTGTGAGTGGGAAAACAGGTCAAATGTTTTCTCAAATAATATTTGTTTGCAGCAAATACTAATAACATAAGGATGTTTCATTAACATATTAGGAATATTTAAAAACATATACACAACATTTACACAACGTTTTCTAATCACTCGATGTTGATTATAGTAACATTAAACTACCCAGTTTTCGTAATTTGAGAATAACGTCATTTAAACGTTAGCATAACATTTATCAGCATTTTACATCGGCTTCATACCCTCAGAATTTAGAGTTGGAACAACCAAAACTACACTCTAAAAAAATGCTGGGTTGTTTCAATCCAACTTTGGGTCAAATATGGACTAACCCAACCATTGGGTTCAATTTTTACATTACATTTTTAACCCAAAAGTTGGGTTAGTCCATATTTGACCCAAAGTTGGATTGAAACAACCCAGCATTATTTAGAGTGTAGGTTTGTACAGTATGTCAGTGAAAGACTGGGAGTGTTTTCTCCACCAATTTTGGGTCGTGACCCACCAATTCTAATGGAGACCGTTTAATCACATATATAGCTGATCATTTTCTGTTTATTGACAGGATTCACAGCAATGGCTACATGATTCTAAAGTGTTTCTATTCTCAAGGTCATTTCAATGCTTCCCACATCTGAGTTTAATATGGCTTTAAATGGAAATATTGAATCAGTAACCTTCCTCTGCATGTATAAATCACTGGCATCAGACGTCAGACTATGCATTTGCTCTGCCATCATCCCCCAAATCCTGAAAATGGTTGGCTGGCTGGCTGTAAATAGGGTCAAATAAAAGGTCTATATTCTGAATGACAAACAAGGCACAGAGAGTTACAGCCATTTGGTTAATGAACTCATTTCAGAGTGAGCTTCTGTGTCATACTGACGATGATAGAGAGAAAGAAATCTGCCTCTTTCCTCTTAAACTTCCCACGTTTCAAGGGTGTGGAATGAAATGAGATTTTAATTGAACCGCAATAAAAGGAGGAAGAGTAGTTAATGTAAATTACTCATCCCTTGCTCTCCAAGTGCTTGTTGCTGCTAATATGACTGTGAAGTGGTCGAATGATTGGAGTGACTCTAGTGACAGTTAAGTGAAGCTGTAACATTTGATCGCCCTCAAATCTTACTTTACTTTATTTTGGGGCTTTTGCATCATTCCATAGACAGCCAAAATAAAGAATGACAGGAAATTGTTTGGGAGAGAGGAGGAAAATGGCATCAGGACAAAACTAGATTTGACCCTGTGTTACCCAAATGAGCACCACATATCAATATGTCAGTAGCACACACATTAACCACTTCCAAAAATAACAGTTGTTCATAACTGCACTTCACAATGACCAAAAAAATAATTATATATATATATATATATATATATATATAT